GACGAAATTGAGAGAGGTTAGGGTTTGAGATACTATTCTGAATAATTGTTCTTGTTTGACTATAACGTAACCCCAAGTACATATTTATAACTAAGGAATGGAAAACTCTGGGTTAATTGCAAGGATGGTCACTGGGTTTACTAAAACCGTTCATGTTTGGTCACTGCAAATATTTAATTCCATTCATGGTCACTAAGATTAGTTCAATAGTTCAAATTTGGTCACTCTTCGTTAGTCTCCGTTAGTTTTTGCTGATGTGGCAGTCAACTATTATAGTTGACCGTTAAATGAGTGACGTGGCCATTAATTTTTTTTTTAATATTTACAATTTCCACCTCATTTTACAACTATTAAAAAATAAAAATAAAACTTACCTCTGCCATCTACTAGATCGCCACACAATCTTGCGGTCTGCAAGGCCGCTGCCCACCAAACACAGACCGCACCTTGGAGGTGCGGTTCCCATTCTGACGTGGCGCAAAACGCACCCTGAGGGTGCGGTTTATATATAAAACGCACCTTAGAGGTGCGGTCCATAAAAAAAGGGTGCTATCAGTGTAAATTTTTCGGCTGGGTGCTATTTTTGTAATTTTTTTAAAAGGTGCTATTATTGGAAAAATCCCTGAATATTGGGTTAATGCATAAGCTTTTCTGGCTTTTTCTTTTGAACTGATACATGGATGGTATTTGATGAAATGCTAGAGTGGTGCTTGCTTCCACGATTACAGAACAGACCAGCACAGGGGCTTAGATAGCGTCACAACCCCCGTAGGGGTTGTGATTTTTGCTTCCTCCTTCGCAACCATTAGATCCACTCTCTCTCTTGGTTTTTCAAATTAACGGTTTAGATTAAATGAAGGGTATTTTTGGAAGAGAAAAACTTACTACACGTGATCCTTTCTCATTTTTTATATAATGTGATTTCCTAAAAAAAAAACTCTTACTCTCTCCCCTCTCTCTTCCCTCTTCCGAGAACCCTAACTGCTCTCTGTCTCTCCCTCCCGTCGCCGCCGCCATCCCCTCCCGTCGCCACCATCGTCGTCTCTCCCTCCCGTCGCCACCACCGCCATCTCTCCCTCCCACTGCCACCGTCTCTAGTGATGGCAATGGGGCGGGTACCTCAATTCCCATGCCCCGCCCCACGCTACTATGGGTCGGGGCGGGTAAAACCCGCGCGGGTACGGGGCGGGGCGACCCCCTCTTACATGTTGTTCAAAAAAAAAAATACAAGTAAATTTTACTTTTTACAATAAAACGTAGGAAAAAACATTCTATGAATGAAAAATATTGATAATAGAATGGATAATTGAGCCTAACAGGTTGAAAGATCGACTCTAACTAGTTGAAGAATAGTCAAAATAGTCAAAATATGTATAGATATTGTAAGAAATTGAGATAAAATGAGTCTAGAATGGGGCGGGGCGGGGCAGGGCGGATCGGAAGTAGATACCCATGCCCCGCCCCAGGCTACTGCGGGTCGGGTAATACCAGCCCCATCGCGGGTTAGGTCGGGTAATACCCGCGGGGCGGGTTGAAATTGCCATCACTAACCGTCTCCCTCCCGCCGCAGCCGTCGCGTCCTCCGCCTCCCGCCACTGCCGCGCCATAACGCTCTCCCCGTCGCAGCCCTCCCGCCGTCCCTCCAACTCATGTCACCGCCATCTCTCTCCCGCCGTCCTCCTCTGTCGCCACCGCGAGGTTACCACCTCTCCCCTTCCTTCTCCTTTCCTCATTCCTTAATTTTTTTTTCCAGATCTGGGATTTTCCAGATTCCAGTTCTTGTTTTTTTTAATGTTATTCTCTAGTGGTACGCTACTAGTGGTAGTGGTAGCGTACCAGTACTTAGTGGTAGCGGTACCAATGAGTAGTGGTAGCGGTACCAGTGGTATTTGTAGCGTACCACTACCACTAGTACGTATCACTACTACTGGTAGCGTACCACTAGATGAAAATCAGTACCATTAGCGCACTGACGAAGTGGTTTTTTTTTTTTTTGCAGATGGCCGGAGCGAGTCTGATTGGAGGATTTCACCGGAAAAAAGTTGTCGGCCGGAGAAAGTTTGGCGCTCGGAGTGAAGAGGTTGCTGGAAAAGAGAGAGAGAGAGAGAGAGAGAGAGAGAGAGAGAGAGAGAGAGAGAGAGAGATAAGCGTATTAATTGTAGAATTTAAATTAAAAAGTATTTAGTCTGAGTTCTTAATTCCCAATCTGTAAATACAAAAATAAATAAATAATAAATTTTGTATTTTTTTTCATACCCAAATTTCCCTTGGATGTGAATCTCACGTCCCTCTTAGGGGAAGTGACGGTAACTCATCCCCCAGCGCAGAGGTGCCTTTCTCTGGTAACAAGAATGAAGCTCGATGTGTGCAGAGGAAGCTGTTGCTTGAAGCCATGTAAATGGAGCTTCCGGAGGGCACTATCAGGTACTCATCAAATGTGGTTTCCATGTAGGATTTGGGATCAGATTCCGGGTGCTTAGTGAAGTCGCTGCATCTTTCTGATATTGGTATTGGAAATTAGAAGAAATTAGAATAAAAGTGACAAGGAGGTGGAAATGAGATGTCAATTTTAAATAATATTATTTTTAAATTGTCACGTCACACATTTAACGGTCAACTTTTAGAGTTGACCGCAATGCAAGCAAAAGTTAACGGAGTTGGACGGAGAGTGACCAAACGTGAACGGTTTTAGTAAATTGAAGTACCACTAATAGATTTAAATATTTCGAGTGACTAAACTTAAACGTTTTTTGTAATGTCAGTAACCAACCATGCAATTAACCCGTACTTTAGCATTATATATTAATAATTGTGGAACTTTTTGATAATCTAAGAATGTTTGAGTTTTGAAAGGAATTATTCGGGTTATATGTGATGAACTCATAGATATTTTTATCTTCCAAAGTCTAATAGTATTGTGCCTAGATTTTTAAAATACGGGCAAAATGTCTATTATGATCGTCAACATGAAGATTTTCATTCTCCTCGTTAGGATTGACTATTGGAATCGTAATCAACACTTTCAACGTCAATTGTGGGGCTATGATCAATATGAAAGCTTTGGCTTGGACCATCATTGTTACTCTCACTTGACTTTCCATCGAGATTGTAAAGTATCATAAACTAGATTAAAAAGAAAGCAACAATTAATTAAAGTGTTACCAAAGTATCATTCACAAATTGAGATAGGTAGAGTGAAAAAAATAAAAAGATATTATTATTTTTAAACTCAATTAGCTCTTTGAGATCTTGGCGTCATTAGTGCCGGCGACAGAATTAGACATAGGGCTGAAGTGGAAAAGGACAACGATTTAATATAAGATTTGTTGATATGACGGTATGATGTGGCAATTTTGATTTTGGACACAAAGTTGATTAAAATTGACGAAAAGATTGATTTGTTAGTTAGGGAAAACATAGGGGATCAATTTGTTAACATTGAACAAAAAGTTAACGATTTGTTAGTGCCTCACAAAAACAAGTGACATTTTCTGCAATTCACCTCTTAGTGATAGGGTTAATTGCATGGTTGGTCAATGAGATTAAAAAAACGTTCATGTTTGGTCACTGAAAATATTTAAATCCAGTCTTGGTCACTTAAATTAGTTAAATGATTCAAGTTTGGTCACTCTCCATCTATTTCCGTTAACTCCAGCTTACGTGGCAGTCAACTTTCATAGTTGACCGTTAAATACGTGACGTGGCAATTAAAAAATTATTAAAAATAAAAAAATAAACTTTTATATTTTCCACCTCATTATTACCTTCATTAAAAAATAAAAAAATAAAAAACCTATAATTGCTCCCAGCTACCGCGTACCCCTTCCCGATCCCGCCGTGGTCCCCCAGCTCCGCTGCTATAATTGCTCCCACAAGCACTTGCGAGACGAACATCAGCACCCCCCAAACAAGAATAGAGGCCTCCTCCCGACTCTATCGACGATCACCATCGACAGGAACGCCGTCCCGATCCCGACGGCGCCGATGAGGATGGCCGACATCAGAGAAGCGCTCTCTCCCATTCCGATTGTTCGGAAGAGCAGAGGAGCGTAGAAGGCGATGACGTTGATTCCGGTGACCTGCTGGAAGAACGGGATCGCGACCGCCATCACCAGCTGAGGTCGGTAATTGGCTTCCAGAATCTTCTTGAACGGGTTGCGATCGATCGATTTTGAGATCTCGTTCGCTTCGATCAGATCCGATAGCATCGACAAAAACGTCTAAATACAACAGTTCCAATTCCAATCTCCAAGCTAAAATCTGCGCGCGTGACGTATAATTACTTCCATATATTTCACATAAACAAGTCCATGGCCAGTCCGAAATTGAAGGCGCCGGTGGCGATCATAAGCAAGCTGTACTGCTCCCTGTCGCAGGTGGTGCTGACGGTCAGAAAACGGCCCCAAACCGTCACTGGCGGCGGGTTCGTGGTGACGGAGGATTCGACCCAGAGTGTCGTTTTTTGGGTGGAAGGCTGCGGGGTGCTGGGATCGCAAGGGGAACTCATGGTCCGCGACCGCGCCGGAGACGCCTTGCTTCCGACAAAAACGTCTAAAGACGACAATGTGGTTCCGTTCAGAGCCTTCTACTTCTCTAAAGACGAGAAGCTTCTCGTCTTCGATTACATGGCCGCCGGAAGCTTGTCGGTTGTTTTTGGTTTGGTTTCGGTTGTTTTTAGGTTTTTTATTTTTTAATGAAGGTAATAATGAGGTGGAAAATATAAAAGTTTATTTTTTTATTTTTAATAATTTTTTAATTGCCACGTCACGTATTTAACGGTCAATTATGAAAGTTGACTGCCACGTAAGCTGGAGTTAACGGAAATAGACGGAGAGTGACCAAACTTGAATCATTTAAGTAATTTGAGTGACCAAGACTAGATTTAAATATTTTCAGTGACCAAACATGAACGTTTTTTTGTAATCTCAGTGACCAACCATGCAATTAATTATATACTAAGTCGGCCTCCATCAAAGATCTCCCAAAAACCTAATTGAACCGATTCTTCTCCCGGAGAAGCGCCGCGTCCACCGTCTTCTCTGGCAGTGACGCCTCGTTTATTTTACGGTCTTCTCCGGCAGCCGCGCCTCGTTTACCGTCTTCTCCAGCAGCCACCACGACCGGTTTGTTGCCCATTACTAACTTTCCCTCGCTTTTGGCTGGCTAGATTCTTTGTTGCTTGCTATAATTAGCTGTTGAATTGCAACTGTTCCTTTGGTCTATGATCTCATCTCTTATGTGTTATTGCTTTTATTTTATTACCACCCACGGCGGATTCAGAATCAGGATACGATCACTTGTGTCGGTGATAAAATGAGTGAAATTGAAATCCTCGCACATGAACTAGTAGTTGAGGTTCTCAAGGAGCAAATCAATGAAGTTTCTACTGAGAAGGAACATATTGAGAGCAATCTCAACCGTGTGACTATGGATCTGTCCCTCCTCAGTAAAGAGGAGCTTAGGTTATCTGAGCTATTTCACCAATTGAAGGCTGATATTGATAAAGAAAAGCTTCATTTATCTGAGCAAGTTGAAAAATTAGAGGGTGTGTTGAATGATGAAATAGCCCAGGGTCGTGCACATGCCGAAGCCTCCTCAAAGTCTCATTCAAGCAAATTTAGCAAACTAGAAGATTCAGCTTGCAAGAAGATTTCAAAGCTGGAAACTATGATTCGAAAGAGCATGGAGGAGAAGCTACTCACGGAAGCTGCACTTGAATCTATGAGGAAGGAATATGCAATGACGGATCCAGAGTATCGTCAACTTCTTGACCGGTGTGAGGAGCTTGAGAACAAATACAAGGAGGCTATAGGATCCTTGATGAAGTCTGGCAAGGAGAAGAAGAGTCTTCAAGAGCGAGTTAGTAAACTTGAGGAAGATCTCTCTCTCACGGGCAGGGCAACCCAAGTTAAGTTATGGGGAAGAAATAGGGGAAGATGAAAAAGCAACTTGTTTAGAGTTCAGTTTTAGTTTTACATAATTTTCCTTGTAAATTAATTCATAGTCGATCGAACCCTGAAATACACTCAATGCATGCAGGATAGTGGATACAAATACAAAAGGGGAATATGAGTTGTTATCATCTTTATTCTCTCTCTCAACACATTGTTGAACTAATCTCGCTTTTTACAATTATTACTATTATCATTATTATATTATAAAATAGAATAGAATAGAGGTGACAAATGGATTGATCCATGAATTGGTGGATCCATGGATCAAATGGATTGGTGGATTCATGGATTGGATCAAGTGGATTGGTAGATTTTTTTTTGTTAATGGTGGTATATATTAATTGAAAACAAAAAATAATACAAGGACAAGACCACAGAAACCAAAATCGGCTCCACGGTCTGAAACAATACAAAATCGACAGGAGCAAGGGGAAAGTAGAAGAAACCTCCCACTCCTGCTCAAAGCGGGTCCGGATCCTATCAGTAACCGACCTATCAGTAACGGTCAGTAACCATCCATCTGACCGTCCATCGCGCCATCTTCCCAGCCGTCAGATCATGCCAATTAAATACACGCGGGGGCAAAAAAGTAATCACGTCTCTGACAATTTGAATTACAGACGTGACAGCGACAACCGTCCCGCCTTCTCTCCTTCTTTCTCTCACCTTTCAAGCGACAGTTCCACTTCCCTCTGCTCTCTAACTCTCCATTCTTCCTCCCGATCCTCAATTCTCTCACCAAAATCGCAGCAAAAACTTCCAGAAAAAAACTTCAAATCGAATGATTTTCGCAAAGGTTTTCGAAGAATCATTCAACGATACACTGTTCTCGCTTCTTCGTCGAAAAACGAAGGGGTTCCAACTTCAACGAGGCTCAAAAATCGTTTTCGCACAAAATATCAAGGTAAAACCTCACTTCTTTCTTCGAAATCCATCCACAGAACAATAGAACAGGTTCGCAGTCACTCTTCATGTGAAAATTGTAGTAAACTCGCTAAATTACCGAATTGTTACCATGCATTGCTGAACTGATGTAGAATCTGTTGTGTTTTGCTTCGTTACCATATGGTAATGTGTGGTAAGTTATGATTGCATGTTGTAAAATAGCAAAAAACCATAAGTCCTGCTGTGTTTTAGTTTGTTACCATATGGTAATGTGTGGTAAATTATGATTGCATGTTGTAAAAAAGCAAAAAACCATAAGTCCTGATGTGTTTTAGTTTGTTACCATATGGTAATGTATGGTAAATTATGATTTCATGTTGTAAAAAAGCAAAAAACCATAAGTCATGCTGTGTTTTAGTTTGTTACCATATGGTAATGTGTGGTAAGCTATGGTTTCATGTTGTAAAAAAGCAAAAAAACCATAAGTCCTGCTGTGTTTTAGTTTCTAACCATATGGTAATGTGTGGTAAGCTATGGTTTCATGTTGTAAAAAAGCAAAAAAACCATAAGTCCTGCTGTGTTTTAGTTTGTTACCATATGGTAATGTGTGGTAAGCTATGGTTTCATGTTGTAAAATAGCAAAAAAACCATAAGTCCTGCTGTGTTTTAGTTTATTACCATATGGTAATGTGTGGTAAGCTATGGTTTCATATTGTAAAATAGCAAAAAATCATAAGTCCTGCTGTGTTTTAGTTTGTTACTTCGTTACCATATGGTAATATGTTATAAGACATGGTTTGATGTAATTACCATATGGTAAAATGTGATAAATATATGGTTTGATTTGGTATGGTAGGAAACCATTATGGTACCATATGGTATATTAAGCTAAAAAGCACGCTAACAGACTATTCCTAATTTCTACATTCAGGTACACTATGGTAAAGCAAAGAAAAACTTTTCGCACAAGGTGCAGCCCAACAAGAATATCTGCAATTGCAAGAACTATAAAAGATGAGCAGAAAGAGAAACTTGAGATATTAGGCCTAGCAGGCTTAATATCAATCAAGCAGACAAAGATAAACAACCATTTTGCACTGTTCGTAATGAACAAATACAATCCAATGAAACAATCGTTCAAGCTACCTGACGGGACACGCATGAAGATATTACCAATCGACTTTCATAGGGTATATGGTCTGCCAATGGGGAATAGGGAAGTTGTACCTCCCACGATTTCTTGGGACGACGCAGCAGATTATGCAATAGAAATCCTACTGGAAGTAGATGGAAAATCCACTCCAAGGGTAAAGCTAAGTCAGGTAGAAAATGATCTTCCTACAGTTACAAAAAGTAAGAGATGGTTACAATTGTTCTTTCTGCTGGTCACCGGAGGCTTGCTGTGCCCAACTTCAGCCCCTATGGCTGAACTCAACATGCTTGAGTACTTAAAGACTGATGAACTGAAACATTTCACCAGCTACACTGGTGCAAATACTTCTTCAACCACATGAATGAAGGATTGAAATCACCAAAGCTCTACGTCAATGCAGATCTTCACTTCCTTACAGTAAGTCTCCATTCCCTTGGCCATTTCAACCTTGTTACTCATATATTTTATATATAAATGATACTCTTTGAAAAAACTAATACAACTATCTGCATAAAGAGGTATGCTTCGAACACCAACAGTAAGCTACTATGATGATAACAATGTTGATAGCAACTTTGAGAACATTAAGAGCTACTACACTAGAAAAGAGTTGAACGAGATCGAAAAGGTTGCCAACATTAGTGACGATGAGGCTGATGATGCAGCTGATGAGGAAGAGGAGAATGAGCCAGTCTATGAATCACCGAAAAAACAAAGAAACAAAAGTCCAGACCAGTCATCATCACTGAACTTTGATTTGAAGAATATCAGAACAGTCAACCAAGTAAGTACAAATTATCTATATTACAGTTGTCCAATTCATGCTAACCGTAAGTCCTTCTGTGTTTTAGTTTGTTACCATATGGTAAGGTGTGGTAAGCTATGGTTTCATGTTATAAAAATGGAGGAAAACATAAGTCATGTTGTGGTTTACTTCGTTACCATATGGTAATGTGTGGTAAGCAATGGTTTCATGTTATAAAAATGGAGGAAACCATAATTCTTGTTCTGTTTTACTTTGTTACCATATGGTAATGTGTGGTAAGCTATGGTTTCATGTTGTAAAAAAGCAAAAAACCATAAGTCCTGCTGTGTTTTAGTTTGTTACCATATGGTAATGTATGGTAAATTATGGTTTCATGTTGTAAAAATGGAGGAAAACATAAGTCCTGTTGTGTTTTACTACGTTACCATATGGTAATGTGTAGTAAGCAATGGTTTCATGTTATAAAAATGGAGGAAACCATAATTCTTGTTCTGTTTTACTTTGTTACCATATGGTAAGGTGTGGTAAGATATAGTTTCATGTTATAAAAATGCAGAATAGTGATAATAATTGCCAATACCATGTATTACCACCATGGTAACTAACCATACACCATACACACATTACCACCATGGTATCTTACAAAAACTCCCATTATGCAGGCTGAGAATGCAATCAAACTGCTTGAAGCATCAATGAAGGCAATGATGAAAGCAATCAAAGACCAGTACAAAAGCCAAATTGACAATCTGATCAGACACAAGGAGAATCTTGCGAAAGAAAGCTGTGATGAATATGTTCAGCCCACAGAAGGAGAAAAATCTCAGTGTGAAGATGATGAAGAAGAGAATGATGAAGAAATGAATGCCAGTTTGAATAAAACACTCAATGAAATATTCAAACAGACAAACATAGACCAGAACGAGGAGCAAACACAGAAAGAAGATGATTCACAACCATCTACAGTCGATCTTGCTGCATCTACACCGAAGCCAAAAGAAAAGGAGCAAGATGATTCTGCTCCAGGAGCTGTGAATAGGGAAAGCATCCCAAAAGAAGGAGGTCCACTGGGGGAAGTTGCAACAGAACCACCAGAACAATCTGTTCAAGAAGGTCTGAATCAGGGAACACCACAACAAGAGGACACCCCGAAAGCAGTTCCAGAACAGACATCTGCAAAAGAAACAGGAGAAAAAGGAGCTACCAAAACAGCAGATCCAATGGAAGTTGATAAGGAAACAACAGAAGAAGGGAATACAGAGCAAGCTGCGCAAAAGACTGCAGAAACTGACAGCGAGAAAATGGTGTCAGATGATGTTGTTCGAGAAGAGGCTCCAAAACTGACAACCAAAGCTGCTGAGAAGCCTAAAGTGACAAGGGAAGACGACATTCCATCCTTTGATCTCAGCCCTCTCAACCGTCAAACACCAACAACACCAACGAAGTTGACTACCAACTCGGCAACCGATCAACCAGGAGAGCCTCGCAAAAGAAGAATCGTGGTGAAGAATGTGCACGGAAATGAAAAGAAGGCAAGAGCAACACCACCACCAGCACAGCCACAAAGCACCCAGTCACAGACGGAGTCATATGCTATATGGTCAAATCTGTACACAAACAGCCAAGAGAAGCTCAAGGAAGTCCGTGAATGCATAGATGCTTACCTAGAGGACCTGAATTCTCCAACTGTTGAACCAGTTGCTCCACAATCACAAAAATCACCAGTTGAATGGTCAACACCAACACAAACAACACCTGATGATATGTTCAACAACATCCTGGAGTACATAAGATGCAAAAACAAGAAATTTGTCAAGAGGTAAGTCATCATCTTAAAACTTCTACTGTTATATGATTTTACTGTAGTGATCTAGTTTGTTACCATATGGTAAAATATGGTAAGATATGGTAAAATTAGATAAATATATGGTTTAATGTTACAAAATGTAGTAATGCACAAGTCCTGTTTTGTTTTAGTTTAATACCATATGGTATGATGTGGTAAGCTAAGGTTTGTTGTTAAAGAATGGATTAAACCATAACTCCTGTTCTATTTTACTTATTACCATATGGTAAGATGTGGTAAGCTGTTGTGTTTTACTTATTACCATATGGTAAGATGTGGTAAGCTATGGTTTTGTTGTGGTAACCTATTGTTTGATGTCATAAACTAAAGTAAACCATCTGTCATGTTGTGATGTGCTTTTATACAGTGATGAGATAATGTTTAAAAGGAAGGATGGAACATTCTTGCTGAAAAGGGAGTCAGTACAGTTGATTGACATTGGCTGTGAAATCACAACTGATGTCATCGACTGGT